ACTCTCCCCACCTTCAGCATTTGGGGGCATTCAGTAAAGGGAATTCGTTTGACAGTGTGCCGTTTGTTGTTTCTAAAGTCAACCATTTCTACTCCTGTATGAAAGCAACATCTCTAGAGATGCTTGTTGTAGATATCTTACCGCCTTCACATCTAAGTACAGTTTAGAGTACGTCTTCACCCTCAAACGAGTTGTTACTTTTATTATCGTCCTACAACTGACTTCGTTGGGATAATACGGCCTAAGAAAACAAATGTCTTCGCCATTATTGCTCGAATGGGTCACTACGGTATCCAAGCTCGATCACCATATCAAGTTAGCTTTGACTGAAGCCATTCAATGTAAAGTACATACCAGTCAGTCGGTCAGTCAGTAACAACGTAGAACTTCGTACGTACGTACATCAGTTCGAGTTGCCATACCACATTAGCACAGCGATGCAGTGGTCAATTCAAATTCCGTAGTGGTAGAGGTAGTAAAATTATAAGCTGTAATCAGAAAAATTAGGGTTTGAAGATGTTATTCAAGGAGTATAATCCAGTGAAATAAATTTGGAAAGAGAAAAAAGAGACAAGGAGGAATCAGAAGATTAGAATTCGGGAGAACACAAAGAGTGTATGCACCTGCGTCATTGCAAATGATTTTGAGCCATGTCATTCAGGATGTCTAACCATCGGTTGCTATCATCTCGCGGTCCCCGACCAGGTAGTCTACACCTACCAACATGAATCAGTCCACTTAACAGTGAGTTCATGGACTTGTGCCATGTTTTGGTCTGGCCTCCCCTAGCTTCCTTCCAGCCTACTCCTATACCATTGAACATCGCTCGTCGAGGCAGTCGGTCGTTGGGCATACGTAACACGTGTCCCAGCCATCTCAACTGATGAAGTTTCACTACTTCATCAATTGATTTGCCATCCTTACCTAGTATCCGTTTCCTAACAACTGCGTTACTTACTCGGTGGTCCCAGGATATACGAGCAATGTTTCGAAGACACCTATGATCAAATACTAGTAACCTATGAATGTCCTCTACTCTTACCGGCCATGTTTCACTGCCATAAAGTAGGACGGAACGAACTGCTGCGCAGTAAACACGTCATTTGGTTGATAGACGGATATCTCGCCTACGCCATAAATGACGCAAGTTGGTAAAAGCTAGTCGAGCCTTCTGTATCCGTGCTGAGATTTCGTCACACACCAGACCACAAGGGCTGATGAGACTTCCAAGATAAGTGAAGCGATCGACACACTCAATTACTTCACTCCCTATCATTAGTTCGGGTGTCAATGCAACCCAATCCTGAAGCAACATTTTGCATTTCGAGGGGGAGAATCGCATCCCGAACATGCTTGCATTGTTGCTTAGAGTGGTCAGAAGACTGCATTTTGTCAGCGTCTTCGCATAATAAAACTATGTCATCAGCATATTCTAAGTCAACAAGTGAACCTCCCGATAGAAGTTCAACCCCTGGAAATCTAGACGAGAAAAATGTTATCTCTTAAAGTACGTCGACGAAAAAGTTGAACAAGAATAGAGAGAGTAGACAGCCCTGACGAACACCACTTGAGGTAATCAATTCTGATGACAGTTCGCCATAAGCTTTGACTCGGCTAGTTGTGTTCGAGTAGAGAGCCTTTATAAGGTTAATGTACTTCTTTGGTACTCGTTTCAGTGACAAACACTGCCATGGAACCTTACGATCGACAGAGTCGAATGACGCCTTAAGATCGAGAAATACTACGATTGTGTGGCGTCTGAACGTGTGTCTGTGTTCTAGGACCTGACGTAGTGTGAATATCTGGTCTACACAACCACGTCCAGGTCGAAAACCAGCCTGGTTTTCTCTAGTCTGTTCTTCACGAGCTTTAGTTAGGCGTCGAAGTATTATTGAAGCTAACATTTTAGACACTATATTAGTCAAACTGATTCCTCTGTGATTGTCACAAGAGGACATATACGCACTCAGGATATATACAAAGCGTTTGTTATACTTGTCTATATTATAAGAAGTAATCAAAACGAATGAAAATACCTGAGAGTAAACAAACAATGTATATGATAGGAGAGAATAAGTGATGGGCAATGGGATTCGGAGTGTCCTATTTCCTATTAACAGTTTCTGCAGTTTCACAAACTCATGGGCTTTTAATTGGTTATTAACACAAATGTTACCTCATGGTTGGCAGTGGAAAATCCCTTATGTTGCTTGTTTTTGTTAACGACAGACTTCCTTTCTATGTACTATTTTTATTCCACTCTATGATCTTGGTATCTAAGTGTGACGAGTTTATTTTAACGAATGAATCTTTAACTAAATATAGTCAATTCTTGTTTTCATTTTGTTTTATTATCTATCTTGTTAAACAATGATAACTTGTCAAACTACTTAAATTTTGTTAGTAACTGCACTATCCTAACCAAAATATTGTTCGAGACTATCTATATAGTTTCAAAATAGAGCTGTTTAAAAGTAACGTGTCTCTAATAAATATGATGGTTTTAAAATAATCATGAATAATTATAGTTGAGTAAATACAGGTAAATTGGCCGTGAGAAAATGGGGTTATAGCAGCTTTCGTAGACATTGAGCTTTTTTTTACCAATATTCTAAACCATTTCATATGAATGTTAACCATCATACTAGTATTTTAATACTTGCTATTACTTTTGAATTTCATCTGCAAATAGTGAAAACTTAAAGACAGTTCAGGTAGTTGTATGGGATATCATTATAGCGAGTGATATTTGGCTCGTTTGTTAGCGTTGAAATATTGATTATTTTGACTTGAGGAATTCTTGTTTTGATTGTTTCGACGCCTTCATGGTCTCATAATCAAAACGCCAATCTAAATTGAACTTTGTAGCTGCAACTGGGTAATGGACAGCAAAATCATAACCATATCAGTCTCATTTTCTACATTTCATACTACCACTAAACCAGTATATAAAAAACAGCTGCATCGGTTCAAAAATGGTCATATCCCTATACCGTTCAAGCAATTTTCTGGTGGTTTACGCCCAGTAATTATTATCTTACAGTCACTGACTTTGTTAAAATGTTGACGTTATTGGATACTAACCAACCACTTCGAAATAGTGGTGGAATTTATTCATCATGAGCGTTATTGTGCTGGAGATAAGTATACATACTTTCATGATGGTATGATGAATATAATGACAATTGTCTGCTTAATAATGTACTTATTACAATATTCATGATCCTCATATGCAACGACTTGTTTTTTTATCTATATCAAGCAGTAGTAGCTTTTCTCAACTCATCAATATATCCACTGCATCTGTGGTTAGAAATTTCGGAAGTTAAATATTTGTAATTATCCCTTTAACTTCTGCCCACAGCATGTGCGGATTTGAAATTGCACCTTATATTCTAATGGGAAGCTAACATTCAATGAATTTCATATCCACAACATAATTGTAGAATTTAAGTAACCGCTTTACCTTTGTTATCAGATTCCACCAAGTATCTAATCTACTAATAGAGGTGGGAATTTTCTACTACACAATCTTTTCAGGCTAAGTGGATAAATGTCACTGGTTAACTGTATCAGTTATCGAAGCATATCTTCAAATTTACTTACGCTCAAGTTAGCCTATGAACTATAAAACTTGGTGATTGGAAGCTGCGTCTCTATCTAGCAACTTGTGAAAATTATTTCAGCTTATTCGACCCACTGGGAGCAAAACGTCTGGTTTCGGTAAAGTTATCTATGATGTTGATAGCATGTCATTTGGTAACATCTTAAGGCGTCTCATATGATGTACTGTTTTTCGAAAAATATTTCGTCTGGTTATTTGTCCCAGACTGTCCCATCCTCCATGGCTGGTGACGATTGATCTGCCCAACGAGGAGGAAGTTCACATAGCAACCCAGATTATAAGGCTCCACGAATCACCAGGCCTAGACGACTTACCCTCTTTGTTTCTAAGAAGGGTGGAAAAGGTTTACAAAAAGACTATTCCAACATCCTGAAGTAAAGCAGCCGTCGTCCCAAATTTTAACAGGCATTATTCATGCATGCACTCTAAGGGGATAAGTTTACTTCTGACTGCTTCCAAACTTTTGAATTCCGTCATATTTCAGATTTTGTTAAACCCGTGGAAGACTGAATTGTATAGAACAGGCTGGTCTTTGATTAAGTTATGGATATGTCTATTATATCTCCACATCCCACTATATGTTAAATTACTGCTACACTTATTTCAAGTCAATATTCATTGTGTTTGTCAGTGTTAGTTGATGTTACCACCTTTAACCCTGGCTTCGGTTTCATAAACATATCTCACGGCATCATTCTTGTGACTTCTAAATTATGAATTACTTGCAGGTTTTAGCATTGGATGGCGAAGGCAAAGTAGTCAGTATATGACATGAAACTGTGGTGTGAGAGGAAACTGTATAAGACAAATACGTTGGTCAATCACGAATCCTTAGCTGGGGTTCTGAAAATGGTGCGACTCAGTGGCTTGAAATGTTAACAGAAATGGACGAGAACCGATTATAACAATATTCGTGCTCTAGTTTTCTTTGAAATTCTCTTTCAAATGGAGAGAAACTGAAAAAATTTCTTTTACTTATATTTTTAACTGGACTTTATCCTTCCCTATACATTAATCTTGTCCACTTATTCTGTTTTCAACTACACTCCCTTCCTCTTTTACTTCTCCATGATGTTATCTATTTATTTTGTCAGTCGCATACTATTTTTGGTGCCTGGTTATGCCGAATTTTGTGTATTAAGTAGGAAATAACAAAGTCCAATTGGACGTTTGGTAGCCTAGTTTAGCTACTTTCACACATAAATCTACTAGTATCTTCCCCTCCCATATGTAAATAAATATCCAATTGTTTTCTTTAGTATTTGCTACCATTTATACTCTTTAATAATCTGTCTTAGATTGAAGATCACAAAAATGTTTTTTTCTAATAATAGTGTTTAATTTATTCAATAGATAGAAATTTGTCTCCGATCCAATGAATTTGGCATCCATTGACAATATCATACGTGGGGCTCGACTTCAGACATCATCAAATGACTCGAGTTATCAAAATTTTTTGGATCGTTTAGTTTTACCTGGAATGGTTTTTGAATTATCTGGACCTTATGATGGGCCTGTATCATGGTCTATTGGTCCAGGTCTTGTCTGTGTGCCGATGTCTAGAATGAAACCTGGAGTGGGAAAAAACAAAATGGTGGATTCGATTTTAGTAAGACAGGTCAGTCTTATGGTTTTTATTTCCAAGTAGCGTTGTACAACTAGATTTCACCGTTCAACTTGTTGCTATGGCCATTATTGGCTTACATGAACATATGAAATGGTTCAGTGTGCTAGTCTTATCCTTCATTGATGAGTTCCTCGTAGTTTTATCTTTCGGTCTTTTTGATGTGTAATAAACAAAACTGATTTGTTGCGGTGTAAATCTTTACACAGATACCACTCAGCATTATTTAGTTTCCATATTCAGTTATATTTCATAGCTTACTTCGACTATCAAAACTGTTTTACAGCACTATGTTTTTAAAGTATACGGGTTAAGTCCCATCCATTATTATATAAGTCTGCTAACGATTTATTTTCGAATATGCTGATGTATTTTCTCATTTTTTTAAAATTCTCTTAACAGTTCGGAATCTTAAAATTCAAATGTAAGAAGTTGGAAGGAACAGACTCAACGGATACAATCAAGCGTTTTAAACTGGGAAATTCATTGAGTGATTTGAGGTCAGAAAATTTCATTTGGGTAGAATGCCTTGTGTCTAATGGTTCAGTAACTACATTACTCCCACTTACTCGTCTCTCATACCGTTGTCATGTGGGACAGTTTCAGCCAGAGGACAAGGTTATTGGCGTTGTAATGAAAAAAGCTGGTGAATCGTTTGTAGTTGATATAGGTTGTGCTTCTCCGGCTATTCTCAATTACTTATCATTCGAAGGTTCTTCTAAAAAGAATCGTCCTGACATTAATGCAGGTGATGTTCTTTATGCCATGATTACACGAGCCGACAGAGGTAAGTTTATTCTGTAATCACTTATATACTTTCTGTTTGTCAACTTTATTATTCCCATTTTTTGAGCAATAACACGTCTGTAAGCAAGCATTATTCTTAATGTAAGCCTCTTTCATGGAAACAAACCTAGTTTTTAACGACTAGTAGACTGTAAGCAAAAGTAATAATCGCTATTCTAAATTGTTTGCATCACTGTAACAATTAGTATGAAGAATAAGGCAGATTGTCAGAATAAGCATTAGTCTAACGATATCGTTCCTTGAACGTTAATGGTTGAATAATACACGGCACATTACGTTTAGAAACATTTCATTTATTGCAAGGACGTTTTGTTTGCAAATCCAAACAAGTTATCAAATCTAGTTTCTTCTGTGATAATACTTTAATATTTTACTACACAACATCTCTTAGTACATTTGAATAAATTGTTTCGTGGTAGCTGAATACTTACAATTTCATCATCATTGATTACTGATTTTATTTAGTTTTACCTAAATTTACAGAAAATAACCACTGTTTTCTCCTTTCACTCCACCTATTTATGAGAAATAATGATGTAGTTTGAATTGTTATCTAGAAATTGAACAGTATCTTTTCTTTCTAAAGTATTATAGTAGCTTGTCATTTTACATTAATACCATCAGTTCTGACAAATTCATAATCCGTTGGAACTGTTATCTCAAGTTGATTAACGTGGTCAGTTTTTCTGAATACACGATAAGGTGTTTTTTGTATTAACAATATTGTACGTCTTAACGACTGTTAGTATTGATAACGAGATTTTGTTTTCCTAGATTTAGAGATTGAATTGTCATGTGTTGATGAGGCGGGGAAAGCTTGTGGAATGGGTATCCTTGGTCGCCATGAACCTGGAACTGTTGGTAATGCTGGAGGTCGGTCTGGTGGTATACTGTTACACTGTACGCAAGATTTGGTCAGGCGGTTAGGCAATCAAGATGAATTTCCTCTATTAAAACTTTTATCTAAGGTAAAAACTCAATGTGTATAGTAATTTTTATTTATAGTTCTTATGAATATCTTAGAAACAAGTGAATTCTTTATATCAACACCTGTAGTTCCAATAAACGGAAATTCACTTTTTAGCTAGCAAGTCAGAATTATGCCATCCAAAAGCGTTGATTAAAAGAAGGAACTTTTTTGAGAACAGTATAAAATGTAATGAAATTCTATAAGTGCTCTATACGTTACAACAAATAACTGTTATAGATTTGTCACAAACAACGCAATGTAGAATAAAGTTGTTTGCTAACTAACTGACTTACTTATTTGCATTCACTGTGGGCGAGCCGTTTTTGATGTTGTGGTCGGTATTGAACAACCTATCCGTGTATGAATCAATGGATAATAATTGACAGACATCAAGAATAAAAGAAAAAAAAAGATAATTATCCAACTGGTGATATCAAGAGAAAGGAGTAAAAGTTGTTTGAGGTTAAAGGAGATAAATATTCTAACCTCTGACATTCAATAACACAGTTTATATTTAAACCAAAAATTTGTTTCATAAAGGCAAATCTAAAATTACTAAACAGTGTTTGCTTTGATTTAAATTTTTGATTTTTAATATACGATCTATGGAAACTTTTCGACATGTCTGAATGAAAAACAAAGAGCGCACATGTGAATGAATCAGATTCAGTATTTAATTACTGCAAGTCGATGAATGAATTATACGAATGTGGAGATACTGAGAAAACAGGAGTGAAATTGCTTATCCGCTAGAGTGGATAACAAACTTTGCTAAATACATGAAGATCAGTTACACTTCGTGGTTTGTCTTTATTTTCATCGAATTGGTTAATTACTTGTTACAGTCACTTTTTACCAAGTAAAACGATAGATTATATGATACTTTGAAATTTTAGTGGGCTTTTTATCCATGTCAATTCAATATATACAAAAACTTTCTGATTGAAATTGTAGGCTGTTTCCGAAACAGTAAATCGGACTCATAAATTTGTATAAATAAAATATATTCTGTATTCTTTAGTGTACTAGTCGAACTGTTTTCCAATGTTCCATTTTGAGCTAGTTGCATTTGATTAGAGGTTGAAAGATACAAGATCAATATAATTATGCATTTTGATCACTTAACTTCTATACTTTAAAGGAATAAAACTTGCGAAAAGTCAAATATATTACGTAATAATTTTTGAACCAGTGATAAAGTTCAATAATTTGGCCGTATAACTGATTACTGTTGATATAACTGTATCTAATAACTCCAGCTTTCTGTTTATTATAATCGATGATTGTAATCACATCGTTCTGTATATTTGTTAATATTGTGTATTTCTTGTGAACTCTTTCTTATTTTTATATCTCATTAAATATATCCAATTTATTTAATGATTGCAAGGACTCTTACTTAATGCCCCCAAATGCCCTGGTATGGCCGAGAGCGGGGTCGGCCCGCCTTCCCTCTCGAAATGCTCTCTCACGGCCACGCGTATACAGCCCCTGCCAGAGAAGTCCTACTCACTGCCTTCTCGTGGCAGGAGTGTCGCTTACGAAAATGAGAGGACGAAAAGCGAATGTCCGGCGCTTTAACCGGATCCCAAACCAATGGTGCACATGGGCTCCAGTATCCTGTGGGAACAAATGGCGTATGAACCAATATCTTGGTTACCGGCTACCATGAGACTGCATCTCCTCACGATACTCCACTGTCTTGTGGGTCAGACCCTTAGGTCAAAGGCTCGGGGTGTGGCCCCCTAAGAAAACCACCTGCTTCGGTTTGGGCACCCGTGCAGTATCACAGCCTACACACACATAAATATGGTGTGGCGCATATATATTTAGTGCTTTCTTGTACCAATATTTATTTGTTGAAATAATAAATAATAATAACTCTTACTTAATGAACTAATTCACTGACATTATATGTACAGTTATTGTTTTTCTTTCACTTTCGTACTGATAATTGATATTATGTTAAATAACATTTTGTTATTATTCAATAATTTGTACTTTAATTCCTATGTATTTCTTTATTCTGACATCATAGTTTCTTATTGAATTTTCTTTTTCTTGTAATTTACTTAGGTGTATCCTTTTGAAATATTCTTAGGTGCAAATGGACGAATATGGTTAACAGCTGGTTCTGCTAGAGAAATAATGATATTAGCCAATGCAATAGCTATTACTGAACATATATCAACGAATGAATGTTGTCAATTAGCTAAAGAACTTTGTTAAGTCTTTTTTACATTTTGATAAAATGTCTTTTTTTCTCTTCTTTAAATTAAATTTGAATATTGTACATATTTATATTGATATTGTACATTTGTAAGTCTATTTTGTATCTAATAGATTAAAGTTTACTTTGTTTTAAATAAAAATTTGTTCATTGAGAAATAATACATAGAAGTAAAATTATTTGGAATTACAATTTGTAATGTTAATTAAAATAAAATGTTTCTCGGGTAAGTTTTTCTGACAGTTGGTTCAATTTCATCAGTACTGAAATTAGATATAAAAAGATACTGTTAGACTTAAGGACAATCATACTATTTTATTAGTAAATATAAACAAGCCATATCATCATCAGTTAGATTTGGACCCTCTCCATTATCCTTTCCAATCTTGTGTGTGCGTGCGAAAGTTTGAACACTAAAACAATCACAGCAAGATAACTTGTTCATAGACAGATCGATGTTGAGAATGTTAGTGACGAGTTGAATCACTAACTGAATCAGGTATTTAGAGCGTTTCTGTCCTGTGCAAGCATAGTTGAATCTACAGTAACAACGGCATTTTTTTTACAGAAGAAGTGAAGATTAAATTCAATATCAATGTTTTGATTTTCGGAACATTCAAACCAAAGAACACGTTGACCTTGATGTTTGAAAGATTTCCATGAAATTCAGTATAGAACAGCGTAATGAATAAATGGTATCAATAACTGAAGGAAAGGTTGTTAAGGAAAATGTGACGCTCAGTTCTCATGTAGAATTCTCACTGACTTTGTCTCAAGTATAACTACGGCTAACGATACTCGTTTTTCGTTCTGAACATCTAAGTATTTGTTCGTTTGAGATACGTGGAACTTATAGAATCCTGGTTACGAAAAGAAGGAATGAATTAATCCTAAGTCGTGGGCCGGTGCAGGAGAATAATAGAGTTGTAACCTCTGTTGTCTTTTTCTGAGCAACCAGAACTCATTGATTAATTTCAATTAGTAGCCCTTAAAGTGAATCACCTCCAAACATTATCAACCAGTCAACTTGGACTATTAAATCCTCTGTTTACACGGAAACAAAAGAAGGGTCATAAAGACAGTTCAGTAAATAAACTGGTGAACTGTTAAAGCTTCCGGTGTGCGTGCACCCATAGGGTGTATTCTTTTTGAGCCAATTTATGCAACCTTTTGGATGATTTTAAAATCAGCTTTTGGAGAGATTACATTACCGAAGTTGATTATCTTGATTTTAAAACAGCAACACACTTATCATTTTATGAGGTACGATCTCCTTTTCTTGACTCATTCACATCGTATTATTCTTCTAGTAGACAATCTTACATCTATAATCTATTTTCACTTTGGTTTATTTTATGATTTTGATATCTAAAAACACTTTCGATCACACGTTAAATGGTATAGTATCTGTCTATTCTGTTATAGGTATATGGATTCTAATTAGATATGCATATGAATGTATAATTTTAATAAATGACATTGTTTAAAAGACAACTTCCTTCTTTAAATTGTCTTGATTTCGTTCTCAACGTTGGAAAAGGATTCATTTGTTACTCAAAAACGGTTTTGTTATAATTTTCACTTTTATGCAACAGAAAAGTTTTCTTTTTATTGAAAACTACAGAAGTTATAATGCTTAATAATTGATTAAATGACTTGATACTTTCAACATTTACCAATGTCATATTTCTTCTGATACCAATCAACATATACTCACTAGTGAGTGACTTCAAGAAATATATTCTGGAGTTCTAGTGAGAAGCAGTGACCAGTGGAGTTCAACCAGGTCTGTTGTGAGATAGTAACTCACTGATGACAATGGTGGATGTGTCTCTCAATTTCGTGGATTAATTGAAGTTAGGCATTAACACCGTTGGATGCCGGCTCAGTGGTTAAGTGCTCGCGCGCGAAACCAGTAGGTCCTGTGTTCGAATCTAGCAAGGGGCGAGGTCGTGGATGCGCACTGCTGAGTCCCAATGGGACGAAACGGCCGTCCAGTGCTTTCAGGTTTTCCATGGTGGTCTAGCTTCAACTGACTCAAGATCTTAACTATTGAAATTACTACAATCTCCACAAAACCCCTTCTGATTTCTTAATATTTACTTAAAATTTTATTTTTCATATTACGTATAACATTTAAAGACATTGATGAATTTGACGATGAGGTCGAAGTTCATTCAGCATAGATATACTTCATTCTTTTTCTTTATTGTTGAAATCACAAAGAAATTTGAAATAAACAGAGAGAACAAATAATTTTCTAACAAATTAGACAGTTTGAACTTAGTTTTATTACATTTAGTGATATGATTTAAAATTGTTAAAAGTTCATAAAGAAGTAATTACAACATAAATACAATGAATGATTAACCTTTATCTTCTAAGTAGTTCACTTAATTACCTTTTAAAACTTCATCTTTGTTTGTATATATCACTTACTAAGCTACGGTTTATTTATTTTAACTGTTATAATAGAAAAAGAACATTTGGTATCTTACATTTAAGTTAATCAATTCATTAATTTGAGCGAACTATTTTGGCGCTCAACATATATGTATAAAGTTGATGCAATACATTCTAAAGTGAATTACAAATTCGCATCTGTTTAATTCATTAATTAATTGAATTTAACCACTTTTATGTTCATTTAAACAGATCTATTTAATTGTTTTCTATGATAAATAGATCTCAACGTAGCCTAACTTATTCATCTACAATAGATAGATTAATGATATTAACAGGTAAAACTGGTTTCAAAAGAAAAGAGAAATGAATAGTAGGTTGTGGATAATTTTTATTAGGTAGTAGACAAACTCTGTTTTTAATTGTATACATTTACTATTAGAATTGCTTAAATCTTCGTTTCATTTCTAATAATGAAGTAAATAAAAAATGCAAGAAAACAATTTTGGTGTTTATCTTGTTCCCCAAAATAATGTTACTACTCTGGGATTTGTCTTGATAATTTTGTTGCTTATATGTCATAACAATCAGATCCAATGTATATATGTACCAGGATCTTTGTTACACATGACTGATTGACTTATTCATAATATCATATTATGATTTTAATAAGCGTTCCAAGCAGATATAACACATTACTCTATTAAAGTACCCTATGGAATTCAACATTATATTCGCGACTACAAATTAATTAGGAAATACCTGGAGAAATGAGACGATCTAGGTGTCTGCAACTTATTGACTCATCTACAGTTAATATAAATTTAAAAACCGAATTGTGATTATGAAGACTTTAAAGTGGAAAACATTGTACTGCCATAAATTAATCATAAGAAAATTGCATTTAACAGAGAATTAATTACCTTTAAACATTATCAGAAAGTTGCGGATTCATTCTTTACTGTGACTTTTACTTATTACACCATTTGAACAAAATCTTCAGTCAAGTTGAGGTAAGCTCGCAGTAAGAATAATAATTATGTATGCTAAAATACAATCATTAAGATTAAGAATAACTCAGCGTTTGACAAATCCATTTTTGTATTTGATTGTTTTCTTTTTTTCCATACCTAAACTATGATAATTTCAATGTTTTCGCAAAGATACCCACACATTCGTTATTTTTGTCCACATAATTATAAGCTATCATCGACTGGTATGGCCGATAGTGGAATGGGCCCGCCTTCCCTCTCGAAATGCTCTCTCACGGCCACGCGTATACAGCCCCTGCCAGAGAAGTCCTACTCACTGCCTTCTCGTGGCGGGAGTGTCGCTTGCGAAAATGAGAGGACGAAAAGCGAATGTCCGGCGCTTTAACCGGATCCCAAACCAATGGTGCACATGGGCTCCAGTATCCTGTGGGAACAAATGGCGTATGAACCAATATCTTGGTTACCGGCTACCATGAGACTGCATCTCCTCACGATACTCCACTGTCTTGTGGGTCATACCTTTAGGTCGAAGGCTCGAGGTGTGGCTCGCTATGAAAACCACCTGCTTCGGTCTGGGCACCCGTGCAGTATCACAGTCCACACACAAACAGAATGAAATGACAATACTTACGGAAAATACTATACTTGCTTCGGTTAACAATCAAACGATTCAAGTTATTATTATTATTATTATTATTATTGTTATTTACTACATCATTTACTCTCTTTTATTCTCACTTTATATAGTGTGGCGCATATATATTTGATGCCCTCTTGTACCAATATTTATGTGTTCAAATAAA